GGGAGATTTCCACAACAGCCATATCCTGGCTGGCTGGAGACCTGGCCCTTGTGAGTGCAGGCCTGACGTGAAAAGTGAAGCAGCTGTTTATTCTACAGTCCTACAATGTTGTCTTTATTCTCGAATGGGAATATGAGAGCAATAGGCCATCTGAGATTTTCTTCTGTGTCAATGCCCGGCTGTGTCTTGTGTCTTGAGCAGTTTCTGTGGTAGAGGTGATATGCTTTATGTCCACTGATTACCTCTCTAAGAAGGAATCCTATCAACCACATTATGGGGAGACACTAGACAGTGAGGGATAGCTAAGCCTTGTTTTAGAGATTTCTCAGGAGTTTACTCTGGAATGGAGTTACATTGAGCCAGAAAGAGGAAGGACCCTCTTTGCAGTCAGCCCCCCATCCCATCTCTGATGAATTGGGGTATTTGTGATCCTAGATCTGTTCCCCTTGGAGTGGAGGCCTTGGGCTGTAGGGTATATATCTCCTTTTTACCTCCTCTCTACTCCCATTCCACTGACCTAAAATGGGTCCCCATCACTTTTTTTTTTTGGCAATTGGGGTTAAGTGACTTGCCCAGGGTCACACAGCTAATAAGTGTGAAGTGTTTGGTCTGAGTTCAAATGTGAACTCAGGTCCTCCTGACTTCAGGGCTGGTGCTCTATCCACTGCGCCACCTAGCTGCCCTTCCCCATTACTTTTTATTTTGATAATTGCAATAGTCTTCTAACAGGACTTCCAGCTTCCAATCTCAGCTTCCTCTAATTCATCCTTCACAAACTTATTTTCTTTATGTATGGATCTTGTCATGTTACTCTTCTGATCAAAAACCCTCATTGGTTCCTTATTGCCTCCCTAAAGTTCAAATTCCCTCACAGAAGTTTAAGCTCCATCACAATTATCCATCACCCCCCTTTTCCAGGTGGCGCCATAGGGCATGGAATGCTGGGCCTGCAGTCAGGAAGGTTTATCTTCCTGAGTTCAAATCCGGTCTCAGACACTTAGCTGTGTGACCCTGGGCAAGTCACTTCACCCTGTTTGCCTCAGTTTCCTCATCTGTAAAGTGGGCTAGAGAAGGAAATGGCAAACCACTCGCATATCTTTAACAAGAAAATCCTAAATGGGGTCACGAAGACTCAGACACGACTGAAGTGACTCAACAACTCCTTTACCAGCCTTAATTCATGCTGCTCCCCTCCTCCTACACTTATTGGCGGTGGTGCATTTGTGGGAATCTGTAGATGTGCTTTCATCAGTGTAGGGAAGGCCCAGTGCGGAAATTCCCACCACTGATACAGGTTGTCAACCTATAGCTTTAAAGTCATCTGTAGGCACTGTGAGATTGTATGACTTGCTCACGTGTTAGCTGCTGGATTTGAACCCAGATCTTCCTAGCTCCAAGGCTTGCTCTCTACCCACTGTATTACACTGCCCTGTCCTCTATGCTCCAGCCAAACTGGATGATTTTATGACCCACCCCCCAAACACGCCGTGTGCTCACAGTTCCCGCTGCCTGGAATGACCTGCCTCCCTCTCTTTGCCTAGTAAACTCCTAATATCTTTTAAAGCCAACTCAAACTCCACTTCCAGGAAGCCTCCCATCCTTCCCCCACTTGCTAAAGTCATTCTCCCTCAGACTTCTCACAGCATCTGTTTTGTAACTCTCTAATGCATTCATCATACAACATTTTGCTTTAGAATTTTCTGTCAAAATGGGTACATGACTTAGATTTAGACATAAAGGGCGATACCATAAGCAAATTAGGAGAGCAAAGAATAGTTTACCTGTCAGATCTTTGGAGAAGGGAAGAATTTATTACCAAACAAGGGATAGTGAACACTATGAAATGCAAAACGGATAGTTTTGATTACGTTAAATTAAAAAGGGTTTGTACAAAGCTAATGCAACCAAGATTAGAAGGGAAGCAGAAAGCTGGGAAACAATTTTTACAGCTAGTGTCTCTGATAAAGGCTTCATTTCTAAAATATAGAGAGAACTGAGTCAAATTTATAAAAATACAAGTCATTCCCCAATTGACAAATGGTCAAAGGATATGAACAGGCAGTTCTCAGATAAAGAAATTAAAGCCATCTATAGTCATGTGAAAAAAATGTTCTAAATCACTATTGATTAGAGAGATGCAAATTAAAACAATTCTATGGTACCACATCACACCTATCAGTTTGGCTAACAGGCCAAACAGAAAATTATAAATGTTGGAGAAGATTTGGGAAAATTGGAACACTAATGCATTGTTGGTAGAATTATGAACTGATCCAACAACCATTCTGGAGAGCAATTTGGAACTATGCCCAAAGGGCTATAAAATTGTGCATACCTTTTGATCCAGCAATATCACTCCTAGGTATGTATCCCAAAGAGATCATAAAAAAGGGAAAAAGACCCACATGTACAAAAATATTTATAGCAGTTCTTTTTGTGGTGGCAAAGGATTGGAAATTGAGGGGATGTCCATCAATTGAGGAATGGCTGAATAAGTTGTGGTATATGAATGTAATGGAATATAGAAATGATGAACATAAGACATAATTCCATAAGAAATGATGAACAGGGGGCAGCTAGGTGGAACAGTGGATAGAGCACTCAGGAGGACCTGAGCTCAAATCCACCCTCAGACACTTAACTCTTACCAGCTGTGTGACCGTGGACAAGCTATTTAACCCCGATTGCTTCACCGAAAAAAAAAAAGAAAAGAAAAGAAAAGAAAGAAAGAAAGAAAAAGAAAAAGATGAACAGGTAGATTTCAGGAAAACGTGGAAAGACTAATAGGAACTGAGGCTGAGTGAAGTGAGCAGAACCAGGAGAACATTGCACACAGTGATAGCAACATTGTACGATGACCAGCTTTGATAGACTTAGCTCTTCTCAGCAATGCAATGATCTAAGACAATTCTAAAAGACTCACAGTGGAAAATGCTATCCACATCCAGAAAAAGAACTGTGGAGTCTGAATGCAGATCAAAGCATATTGTTTTCTTTTTTTTGTTTGTTTGGTTTTTTTAATTTTTTGTGGTTTCTACCTTTTGTTCTGATTCTTCTTTCACAACATGACTAATGTGGAAATATGTTTAATGTGATCGTACATGTATAGCCTGCATCAAATTGCATGTCATCTTGAGGAGTGGGGAGGGGAAGGGGGGGAAATTTAGAACTCAAAATCTTATGAAAGTGAATGTTGAAAACAAAAAAAAATAAATATTTTTAAAAAGAATTTTCTGTGTTTTATCCCCTTATTGGACTGTAAGTGGCAAATATTGGGTCTTATCTAAACTTTGAATGTCTTCTACTACTCCACCACCCAGTATAGCACTCTGCATATAGTAAGTGCTTAATTAATGTTTGCTGATTATGCTTCACCTGCCTGAGGACACACTTTCAGAGAATGAACTCCATCTTTTGTAGGAAGGTTGTAGGTTACATAAAATGATCATAATAGTTGTAGCTGACATTCACATAGAACTTTGAGGTTAGCAAAGTATTGTCTCATCTCATCTATAGAGAAGGTGCTGGCTGTGTGGACATAAACATGATCAGCCAAGGGGTAAAGTGGAATGTCCCCACCACCACTACCCAGTGATAGTTCAGAACAGGATCTCAATTGAATCTCTCTGAAAGGAGGAAGGCTCCAATGATCTCTCCAGCTTCCAACCATGGATGGGTTATGCACTCCTTCTTTCTTCCAAAAAAGAGAACAGGAAAGGACACTTTAGAAGGGAAAGGGGGCCAAATTCCTGCAGAGGAACCTTATTTTCATAGTTGTTTGGAGATAAAATTCCATATCTCTGAGAACAGGAAGGGGACTGCAGCTGTGCATGAAGGAAGCTAGCTATTAAAGGTTTTCAAACTTTCTCTGTGTCTGTTGGATAAATAGTAAGGCATGGAAGCAGGGGTACAGATGCAGCTTTTCAAGAGACTCCAATAACTATGAAAACCAAGAGCCACCTCTGCCAGAGTGATGAGCTGCCCCTGAATGGGCTGAGTATTTTTCGATAAAGGATGAGCAAGTGGCTAAACAAATCTGGCTAAGCCTGAGAATCATAGAATCATAAGTAGAGGTGGAGAAATGAAAGAGACAGAGGGAAAATATGAAGACAGGATGAAAAGTAGAAGCTGACAAAGACACAAGGGGTGAATGGAACGAGTAAGGAGGATATGGTGTTGAAGGAAGAGTGGAAGGAAGGAGAATATAGGGGCTGATATGGGATTGAAAGAGGAAAGAGAGATAGAAGGCTGGGAAGGGAAGAATAGAAGAAGGATGTAGGACTGGGAGGGAAAGAAGAATTTGGGGCAGAGGAAAAGGGAAGGAGGGAGGCATGTGGTGTTGAGAGGCAGGTGAAAGAAGGAAGAACAGGCAGAGGGGAAGAAGGGAGGCAGGTGAGGCTGAGAGGGAAAGGGGGGAAGAAGGTACTTGGGGCAGAGGGGAAGGAGTAAGTGTGTGAGGATTAGAGGGAGAAGGAGGAAGGAGGAACTTGTGGCAGAGGGGAGAGGGGAAGAAGAGAAGTATGCGGGTTTTTGAAGGAGGGGAGAGATGATGGAAAGAGGGAGAGCTATGAAGCTAGAAGGGAGAATGGAGAGAGGCAGCTGGGGGACAGAAAAAAGGAGGAAGGTGGGAGACAATGGGGACAAGGACGGAGGGAGAGAATTTGGGAAAACGGTCAGTGGCGGGAGAGAAGGGGAAAATGGGAAAAAGAAAAAAGGAAGAGGAAGCTAGGGCTGTGTCTCAATTTGTGTTTCAAGTCTCAGTGTTTTGCACACGGGCACTTAATTAGCCTTGAGGTATCTTACAACACATTAGCAGACTGAGCTAGACAAGCCCAGGTCGCGAGGGCAGTGGCGCCGAAAAAGGGCGGGACCGGGCCTACTTAAACCACGCCCCCCCGTTTCTTCCCGCGGGGCTGTAGCGAGCTGTCGCGTAATCCTCCTCTCCCGGGGTCAAGAGGCGCTGGGTACTGGCAGTTCTCGCGAGGTCTCGTGACGTCATCCGAGCGCGACGGCGGCGGCGACAGTGCCTCCTCCCCGTCAGCCTGCGCCGTGCTGTCTCACCGGTGAGCCGGCGGTGAGAAGGAACCGCAGGCAGGCCCGGCCCGAGCTGCGACCCGTCCTGTCCTGCCGCCCGCCATGGAGTACCTTATCGGCATTCAGGGGCCCGACTACATCTTGGTGGCCTCCGACCGCGTGGCCGCCAGCAACATCATCCAGATGAAGGACGGTGAGTGAGGCCGCGCCCAGCCCGGCCGGAGGGGACAAGGCGGGAGGGAAAGGGGCCCAGGCGATGCTCCTGGCGCCGCGGACCTTGCCGCCCTCTCCCCTTTAGGCGCCTAGGCCGGTGGATGGATGCTGTTAATGGGACCGTCGGAGGGAGGGAGCTCGGCGCTCTCCCCGGCCACCTCCGGCCTCGTCCGTTTCCCTTGTGCCCTGATTGGGGCATGTAGCGTGGGGGCTGTGGAAACTCCTTCTGAGTCTGAAGTCAGAAGACCTGGATTGGAAACCTAGCCCTGCGACTTCCTGTGTGACCTTGGACCGCAGGTCCTATTCCCTGTAGGTTTCCTTGTCTGTAAAATGAGAGCTTTGAACTCCCTTCCAGACCTAAATATGTGCTTTGCTCAAGTCATGTTGCAGATGCAGCTCTCTCTGACAGAATCTTGGATGTTGGCGAAGGGAACGACTCTAATAGTCTTACTATTATTAATAATAAAATAAAAAGACGTTTTTGAGGCTTTTTCTTCACAATTCTGTGTAATGCTGCAGGTATCATCACTGTTTTGTATTTGAAGAATCAGAAAAGGGAAATGACAACCAAAATCATAGTGATCTTGGGTGAAAGAGCAGGTTTTAGAGCCCAAATTTCTTGACATCCGGCCCCAAATTCTTTCCAGTCAGCTAGCATTTATTAATTACTATCATTACATGTATTAATTACTAAAATAATATTTTACACATATTATTTACTACGTGCCAGTCACTGTGCTAAGCAATGGGGATGCAAAACAAGGCAACTCTTTCTTCCTCCCCCACCCCTCCATCTCCACTTTGTCTCTTCTTTATTGACAGCTGAGACTAGGGATTGGGGCTGGACCTGTGATTTCAGTGGTATAGGGAACTCCTGGGTGAGCAAACTCGTCTTCCAGTACAGGTGGACACTTTTTTTTACTACATGCCTACAGCCCTAAGAGATTAAGTGACTTGCCAAGAGTCACACAGACACTGTGTGAGAGGTAGGGTTTCAATTACAGACTTCTTGGATCCAATTCTCATTCTTTCTGTCCCCAACAACAGTCTCTCTTGATTGATTTGGTCTACTTTTTTGTTTTTGAGTTCAGGTGGGGTGGGCATAGTAGTGAGAATTGCGTTGTAACTTAAGTGGTAACCACCCTATTAAAGAAAGTAATGGCAAGATTTTTGTGGTATTTATTTCACTTTGTCCTTTAAAAAAGGAGGGTAGGGAAGTAAGTGGGCTGTTTCCAGACCAAGTTTTGTTTAAATGACTAATCATAGATACATTGTCATTTGAAGGATGACTTGGTAGTATTGCTTTTAAATGGCTAGGGGTGCTGAACACAAATCGTAGGAGTCTACATTAAGAGTTAGAAGGAATCTTAGGGGATCACGTTTAGTCCCTATTTAACAGGTAAAGAAACTAAGGGAAGTGAAGGGACCTGCTAGAGGTAACACTGCTAGTAACTGGCAAGGCTGGGATTTGTTTGAATGCAGTTCTTCTGACTCCAGATCCAGCTTTCTGGTGAAGAATAAATAAATTGTTCTTCAGTTTCTTGAAGCCCTAAAGGTTCACTATTCTTTCTTTCATCACATAGTTAGAATAAGACCTGTAGGGTTTTTCTTGAGTTCCATTCATTCAGAACATGTTACTGTTTAATGGAGTAGGACCTTGAAAGTGGTATATTAATGGACATTTTATCAAGATATCTGTAAAATGGATAAAAATAAAAAATGAAAATGCTTCCTAATTTGGGGAACTTTTCTCTTGGAGAACATACTTCTCCCCACCCCCGCCCCTGCCCCCTAGAGATATCATGGTCTTGAATCTTTGTACTTTAGAGGTTAAGTCCTTTGTCCACCACGTGATTTGAGCATGAAGTAAGATTTAATTAGGATCATAGATATTTTTGACCTTAGAATGATACTCCCTTGTTGAGGAAAGTTATATTCTTAGACTGGACACAGCTTCAGGAGAGATGCATATGCACAATATTCAGCAATGCTTTGCACATAGCTGGTGCTCAGTATCATAACTGTGATAACTAAATGAGAATAGTAAGTAATAATACCTCACATTAATATGGCACATTTCACTTTTTCCAATATCCTTTTACCCAAGTAAAGACAAAAAGTGTGCCCACAGTGGTTCACCTGCTTCTCTCTTTCTCTCCCTCTCCTATCCTCCTTGAGTTCCAGTCTGAGCTTTACGTCTTAAGATGGATGCTGACAAACTGGAGTGCATCCAGAGGGAACAGGCCAGGATGGTGAGGGATATGAAAGCTAGATAATTTGAGGAACTGCTAGAGGAATTGGAGATGAAAGGAACTGGAAAACATAAAGCTTGAGGATGACATGATATGTCTTCAAAAATCAAAAGGTTTGTGTATGTAAAAAATGGATTCGGGGGGGGGGGTGGGACTCCAGAGAACAGAATGGAACTAATGGTTGAAAGTTATAGGAAGGGTTGCTTTGGGGGTTCAATAAAGTGAAGCATTTTTAAATACTTATAGGTTTCCCAAAAATAGAATAGGCTGCCTCATGAAGTAGTGACTTCTCTGTCATTGGAAGTACTCAAGCAGAGGCTGAGCAACTCTCAGGGATGCTGGGAATGGAATTCCTGTAGTGGGGGAGAATTTGGATTAGAAGATTGCTATTATCCTTTGATTCTGTAATTCAGAAAGGAAACCTTATTCCTTTTTTGTTAAAAGTCATATTAAGGAATCAGATGAAGGTGAACAGATGTTATAATTGGAGGGCATGTGTGTGGGGGGAGAAGAGTGGTTACAAAAACTTTCACAGAATAGGGTGTTATAAGTTAGCAAACAGCAACTTCCTTTAGTGAATCAGGCTTCAGTTATTTCGCTGGACTGGTGGGAGTATTTAGCTGAGGGAAAGCACATTGGAAAAAGTAAAATGTGCTATATTAATGTAAGATATATTTTATCCCCATTTCTGTCACAATAATGATACTGATTTAATACCAGCTCTGCTGGATTTTATAGGAAATAAAACTCCAGCCCTGAAGGAATTTACAGTATAGTTAAGAAAATGAAACATGGACCTAGAGAAATTTAAACAGTACCTGGAGTTATCACAGTGTACAAATAAAAAGTGTCACAGAGGGGCAGCTAGGTGGCAAAGTGAATAGAGCACTGGCCCTGAAGTCAGGAGGACCTGAGTTCAAGTCCAGTCTCAGACCAAACACTTGACATTTACTAGGTGTGTGACCATGGGCAAGTCACTTAAACCCAATTGCCTAAAAATAAAAAAAATAAAAATAAAAAGTGTCACAGAAGCTCAGCAGATGGAGAGATTATTTGTGGACCATGGAATTTGTGGGAGGAAAGAGGATTTTGAGCTGGATCTTAAAGGATGTGTAGGAATAAAACCACGTCTATAACCTTCCTCCATTTTCCCCCTATTTTTTTGCAGGCCTGATTTGTTAGAATGTGAGCTTGAGGGCTTTTGTGTTTTCTCACCTAGAATATTTTATAATTACTATTTTGTCAGGTAAGCTAAAGTGTTGAAAAATGGAACTTGGATTTGCTTTGACTTGCCATCTTGGTTCAGTCAAACTATTCTGTTGGGTGTCAGTGTCACCTGCTGTATTGCCAGCATATTTTCAATGTAAGTTAGATATAATTCCCAAAAGATGACTGATTTCCTAAAATGAAGGAAGACCCAATTGCTTGTTCAAGGTCCTATATCACGCTTTTGTTACCTTAGCATATTATGTATACTATAATACTATATATCTTTGGTCTGTCTAGTAGTTGATGGAGATGCTTGCAAGTTACCCTGATTGTTGCTGCAATAATCTAGTTGATTTTTCCATTCTTTGAAATCTTACATTACTGAAAGACTGTATATACTTTATACTTCATTGTAATAATGTAAATACCTTAGATTTATATAGTACTTTGTAACTATTTATCTATGTTCTTATTTGATCCTGAACAATCCTTTAAGATTGGGAAAGTCATTTATCCCTTTTGACCTTGGTTTTTTCATCTGTAAAATGAAGGATGGGACTCAGTGACCTGGAAGGTCCTTTCCAGCTCTGAATCTTTGATTCCATGATCCTTTGAGAGGTGAGGTATGGTGAATTAAGAGCTGGCCTCAGACTCAGGAATGCATGACTAGGTTCACAGTCAGCCTCTGAAATGTTCTCGCAGTGTGATCCAGAGCAAGTCTCCATCTTTTAGTGTCTCGGGCAACTGTCTAAGCCTAATATAGTTTCAGGACAGTTATCTCACTGGTAATTCTCTATGCCAGTGAAATCACATATCCTCTTCTTTCTCCCTTTCCTCTTCCCCTTCTCCCTCCTTTGCTAGCTGCATTTTATTTATTTGCCTAAGTTCACATAGCTAAGTGCTGCAGAGCCTGGGCTAGAGCCTACTGCACTGTGGTAGTTCTTTGAGGTGTGTAAGTCATGGCAAATCCTTATATTTTTATATCTCCTATGGTTCCTCATACAGTTCTGGGCACACTGTAGGTACCTAACAAATAACTTTTTACTTGTTTAAGTTGATTTTGCAATGAAAAATAGGAAAAATTGGAAATCTAGCTTTTCTTTTCTAAGTTATGACAAAAAATATTAAACTTATTTTGCAAACTGACAGGCTCCTTCAGCCTGTGTAACAAACATAGTTAGGTTTTCTGTATTTCCAGTCCATACAGATATGACCTTGAGGCCACATATTAGTAATTTTGCATTTACATTTCACGTGTTTCCCTCTAGCCCTACCCAGCCATATTAATGGCAGTTTCAACACTCAAATATTTTCAAAACTGTTTAGCAGCAGCATTATGCTCTCCAAATCCTATTAAAGGATTGGGACATTTCAGAAGCTTTCAAACATGAAACATGTCTTCCAGGGAAGATTATTCAGCAGTATTTGAAAAATTGAAAGTGAAAGTGAGAGTCGGATAGGGAGATTATGTTTTACTGAAGCCCCAGCTTGAATGTGAGAAGTTATGTTCCTTAGGCACTAATGGCTGCCTGAATGTTGATTTCTCTCTAATCTGAACAAGAATCTGGAATAACCAAATAAGATTTGACTATTTGAATTTTTTTGGAAAGTATTTTTATCTGATTTGTTGTTAAGTTTCTCTTTCGTGTATGCTTTGGGGGTGATATTAGTTAATGGTTTTTATAGTGATCTATATTTTCAGTTATTTCTCCACAAATTTCCATCAGTAGTTACTCTTTTACCTTTTCAAACGTCATTTTCTTTTGATGTCTTCTTAATTTAGATGTAGCATCACTTTTCTCTTTGCACCTTCAAATTCTGTCCCTACCTTATCTCCTCAAAACTAAAGCTTGATTTGACCTCTTGAAGAAATTCCCAAGGCATTGGTTATCATGAGCTGAAGGATTGTTTTCACACTTTTGGCATAATTCCTGCGATTCCCTTCAGTGATTGAGTCCTGAATATATAAAAGTATTTCTGATTTGTATTTGTTGCTTCTGGAAGTTCTGTGTAATTTCCAGTGGCAGATGACATCAGTGAAGTGTGCTTATTCTTGAAGGCATGCCATGAGGGATGTGAATGCTGCCTAACATTGTAGAAAATATTGTCTTTTTAAGGGTCTGTTTTTGCTTAGGGTTTGCATTTGTTGGACTTGTACATGATTTGTGATGGTGAATGTGTTGTTATTTTCTGAACAGATCATGACAAGATGTTTAAGATGAGTGAGAAGATCTTACTTCTGTGTGTTGGAGAGGCTGGAGACACTGTGCAGTTTGCTGAATACATTCAGAAAAATGTGCAGCTCTACAAGATGCGCAATGGTAGGTAGTCCTCAGAGCAGGACTTCTGTGCCCTGGCGTTTCCTATTCGTAGACTGAGGAAGTTGAGTCTTTGGGAGTGCTTGAAGGTAAAGGCCTGACCTGTTCACTTGAATTTCTCATCAGCAAATGGTTATTTAGCACCTGTTATTTATAAGATTAGTTGATTGCGTAAGTTTATCTTATCTTATTGCTGCTGCTTCTTAATACTAAAATGCTTGCTTGATTGCGATGAAATAAAAACTGATTTAAAAAATCAACTACTGACAAGAGACTTGCGTCACTTAAAAATGTTATACTTGGGTTGAAATCACTTAATTTAACTGTTTATATTGATATTCAGTGTTACGTTTCTGATTTTAATAAAAAGAACAGTGGACATCAGGAAGTTTTGCCCCTTAACATACCTAGTCTGGCTCTCTACATCAAACTTTAGGAAACTAGGCCTCATAGTCAGGGTATGAGTGAGCAGTGGTGAGATGAAACCCCATTCAGGCCTAAGAAATGATGACGAGATTAGACCTACAAGATGATATGAAGCCAGGATCTGACAGGCTCCTTGACTTGATATGTTTAGTAATCCTTAATGCTCTTTTGTGAAGCTAGCTAACCTCATTATATAAAAAAGAAATTCCAGAGTCTGCAGTGTAACATTTGTAGTCAGACGTATGAAGTGGATAGAAAAATAGTGTTTAGAAAGACAAGGACTAAGAGGTGCTGATGTTTTCGAGGCCAGGGCTCTTGTCTAATAGGAAAGGCCAGCTTTCAGGCACAAAGCACTTTGTAAGGGCATCGCAGCAGGGAAAACTTTTCTAGACCTTGAATTATTCACAGGTATATTGTTGAGATGTGAACTGGAAAGGAATTTGATTTACATATTAAAGCATCTGTTAATTCTTTACAAAAGTATTCAGTAAGATGCATTAATATAACTTTCTGAGCAACGGGCTTGGGTAACATATGTGAAGCTCATATCCTCAGATGAATTGAAGAATGAGCTCCTTTTTTTTGTTTATCACAGTGCTTGTCATAGACCAGGCATTTAATAAATTTTTGTTGAATTGGGGGAAAAAAAGAATAATTTTCTTTTTCTGTAGATGAATAGTATCTCCAACAATATTTTTCTTTCCTGTCCTAATTATTGGATAGTTTTAGTCTAATAGCGTCTGTTTTTAAATTATTAGAAAATCAGTTTTTAAAATTTCTTCATGTATATTTTAACATTCTCCAAACTAATGGTTTTATGTTTAAAGTGTTATTTTTTTCTAAAAGTAAGTCATTTCTAAAGATGTCCCAATATCCCATTTCTTTCCTAGATTGATTCTTTTATAATAAACTTTTCAAGTTGCCTCTTGAAACTTCTCGTTCCTCTTATGCTTACATATGTTTGTGTCTCGTTTCTTGAGTGAATGAAACCATACAGTACAGAAGGTGATCACACTGGTGACTTTAAACAAGTTTGTGGATTTGATGCCCTTACAGATCAATTCATATTATTCTTACTGTGGCTGCAGACTTCACTATTCTCACCTTCACAAGGGGAAGGGGCAAGAAAGCCCATCTCTGCCCCTACCCTTAGAAAAACAGCTCAGAGTCCATGATGCCCTACCCAGGGTGGATCAGTGACCTCATCTTGATAAACAAAAGACAGCATGTTTCTTTCATGTTTTTCTGGTCTGAATTTCTTTGTAGCCAGGATAGAAGAAGTGTGGGCTGGATGACAGTACAGTTAAATAGATTGGTAGCTAATTAAATAACATACCAAGAGAGTGTTTGATTATTAGATTATTCATTGTAAACCTAGAAGGAGGTTTGTATTTGAATTTCATGGCTACTCTGTTCTTGGCCCTTCTTCTTGTTCATCATTTTTATCAGCAATTTGGAAAAAGACAGACTTGCTTATCAAATTTATGGATAACATGAATATGGGAGAGATAACTAATAAATTGAATGACAGAGGAAGAAGCCAAAAATTTCAACAGGCTGGAATAATGAACCTATAGCGCAGCCCTTTGACTGAATCCAAACTTCATAGAACAAATCCCCTTAATAAAAGGATTTGTTCTGTAAAACTTGAACTTAGTCAAAGGGTTGCTCAAGGACCTAGAAGGCCACAGGTTCTTCACACCTGATAAACTAATGAAATGTATTTAACAGGAATATATGTAAAGTCTTAGATTTCAATTTTTAAAGAATCATTGTACAAGCAAAAAATGGGAGCGACTTAGCTTAACAGTTTATGTAAAAAAAGGATTAGGGCTTTTAGTTGACTGACAGTTCACTATTACTGGTGTGACTGCCCAAAAAGCTGAGCCATAGCCTGTATAATAGAAAAGTGTCAAGCAAGGGAAAGTGCTAGACACACGGTATCTTGCATACTGTTAAGACCTTAGCAGCAATATTGTGTTCTGTTCTCTGTCTTGTTAGATTGTAACCTAATTGGGGGGCACCGCTAAGTGATACAGTGGATAGAGTACCTTCCTTGGAGTCAGGAGGACCTGAGTTCAAATCCGACCTCAGACACTTGATATTTGCTAGCTGTGTGACTTTGGGCAAGTCACTCAACCCCATTTCCTAGCCAAAAAAAAAAAAGTTATCTAACATGAGCATACCTTATTTTATTATTTTATATCTTGTCTCCTCTAGTGATCGAATTGAATATGATTTGCCACTATTTTAATACTCAAAACTGTTTACTTTATGTATCTGGAATGGCTAAAAGAGTGTGATAAAGAAAGCACTTGAGGTATGATAGGGTTACAGGAAAGGTTACCTCTATGTCTTTGTAGGGCTAGTATATGGAGAAAGTATTAGACGTTATAGGATAGAGTTAGGAAGACCAGGTTTCAAAGAGGCAGATTGTGGTCGGGTGTAAGAATTGGATTTCTAATAGTTAAGAATTGTCCACTAATGACTTTTTTATAAGATTGGGTTTCTCATCACTGTGGGTTTTTAGGGCTAATGATCATCTGTCAGGGATGACATAGAGAGGATTCCTACCTGGAATGTTAGACAAAATGACCATTAAAGTCCGTTCATAACTTTTTAATAGTGTGGTTCTGTATTTTGAATATTAGACATTGGAGAGTGTGAAATTTGACTGTATTTAACCATTTAACTTCAATGCAAGTCTGAATTTTTGTCTCCTCCACTAGGGTATGAATTGTCTCCCACAGCAGCAGCTAACTTCACACGTCGAAATCTGGCTGATTACCTCCGGAGTCGGGTAAGGAGTATAGATAGGCAAGGCTAAATATTAGGGGAAGGGAGGATTTTCTTTCCTATTTGCAAATCTCCTTCTCCACACAAGTAGTCTGTATGTATTGCTTCACCTTGATGCAACTTTCCCCTTTGGCACAGTTTTGGTCTTTCTTTCTTTAGATTTGTTCTGTGTTTTCTACAAATTTTTTAGGTGAAATCTGGAAAGCACCCCACACAGTCCACCTGAGTGACAGCTTTAGGCAGAACACACCATAACTTGATATATTTTGGGGTGGGCTTTATTTTTGAACTGTGCACTAATTAACTTGTTTCTATCATATAATTAAAATCCCTACAGTACAGGTAAGCTGTGTCTAAGCCCTTAAATTATCCGAGTTTTCATTCCTGCCAGACTTATAAGCAAGTAGCTATCCCTGTCACTGATGTTGAAATTCTTAGTCTTATATGAATTTTTCTACGACTGTCACCATCTGGAACTGGCCTTCCTCCATTGGGTTCTGGCCATGTCACTAGTTTAGTTTGTGTCTCTTCCACTTTTCAAAATACACTGTTAGCTTTTGAATGCATGAGGATTGTGTGTAACCACCTTATAGAATGTTGCCAGGAAAGCATGTGTGATTGCTATAATATGTATTTTCCCTCCCTTAAGGGACCGTATAGCTGCATTTTTAGCATATGACCTCACTGCCCCTTGTTTTTTCATCTATAAAGTCTAGAAAACTTACTAAGCACAGAAGAGTGCTAAGAAAAGAGATTTTAATGGTTCCCATTCATATGGTTTTCACAAAAAAGCATTTTCCTTAATTTAATCTAGGCAGCATCCCATTGAGGCCAGTGGTGCTTGACTCTGTTTAATTGATAAGTAGGAGACAACAGAATGGCATAGGACTTGCCCAAGGTTCTATGGCAAGTCTGAAACAAGCCTGAGATGTACACAAAGTCCTCAACCACAAGTGTGAAGCTGTAACTTCTTGGGGGTGATGACTTTCTTCTCTTGGTCAGTCCTAGCTTTTGCCCTTTTTATATCTTTTTATCTTTTAGCTTATAAAATGTGTGCATCTTCACCAGTACCTCAAAAATCTTGGTAATGGTGTGTTTTCTTATGCCTAGGCCAGATTGTGTGGTTTGGTTTGGAACAATTTCAATATTATCTGCCACGTGAGCTCATATTGTGCAGCTGCTTAAATTACCTGTTGCAGTTATAAAAACAAATTGGGCAGATGCTTTGTAGTCAAGTCTAAGGAGATGATGTTGCAGCTCTTCAGGGTCATGTATTTTTGTTCCTCATAACACTTCTTTCTGGGATTCTCTTGAGAAATGGAGCTTCTCTTTCTCTGAGTGTTAGTTTGAATACTAGGTGAGTTCTAGACTCGAATGGAAACAAAAATTCAATTATGGGTTACATTAGATGGGGGAGTAGGAAAATTCAGAGGACTTAAATGAAAACCCAAAAACATTACCTCTTTCACTTTCATAATTGGAAAATGAGTCCAAATCCCAGCCATGCAGAAGTTCCTTGTGATATTTAGCAGAATGTAAGATGTGACTTGCTTTGTAAAATATCTCTCTGACTTATCAGGCAAATTCCAAATTACACCTTTAGGCACAATAAACATTTTGTTGTAAATACCCTGGTATTAATAAGTGAATTAAGCTCCTTTTAAAATCGAGATAAGACTGGCAATGCAAATGCAGTGGATCCATTTAATCTTCTAGCAGCTAAGACGTTTGATGTACTTAGCAAAAGAATCTCCTTTGTAGACAGTGACATGGAGCTTTAGTAATGGGGTGGGGGAGGGAGAGAAGAACCAGTGGTGTTTATAAGGGATAAATTTTGGTATGGCAACTGTCAGCAGAGAGTTTTACAGGTGTCCAAGCTCTAGGATAAGAAATGCATTTTGGAATGACCAGTCATTATAGCTAAGTGGATTATATTTTTAATTACTGGCATGAGGGATTTGATATTTTGAGTCAACTTTTGAACATTTTTATTGAAAATAAAAAAGAGATTCTCAGCTCTGGGGATCCTATGGTTGAGGATGGGCTGATGCAGACTAATAAATGGCTACTAAAATGTCAGTGTGTGCTTAACATTAGAAGACTTTTGCGAAGAAGAGGAGACTCGGGAATGTGAAGGTGTGGCAGTGCAAGAATTGGAGAAAGAGGAATGATGGCACGTGAATGGAAAAACAAAAAAGAAGAGTCGGAAAATCAGAAATGAGACCTTTAGGTTTGGACTTAGAAGGCAAAATGCAAGCAGTCTTTCCTTTGTTTAATAAACTTATAAACATAATTGTGTTATTTACATAATATGAAATTGTTACATAATGTTAAATTTGCGTGATTATTATTAAACATATAAATGTTTCCTTCTGAGATAGCAAGTTTCCTCAAAGTGGGAAAGGGTGAAAAAGTTTCAAAAGTTTATTTTCAAAGCCTTTAGGCTCGGATTTGACTTGGGCTGGGAGGAGACATTGAACTATGTGGGACAGTATACTTAAATATTTGAAAGGCTGTCCTGTAGAAGAGAAATTTGAGGGGGGGTGGGGCAGCTAGGTGGCCAGTGGATAGAGCACCAGCCCTGGAGTCAGGAGGACCTGAGTTCAGATTCGGCCTCATACTTTTAACACTTACTGGCTGTGTGACTCTGGGCAAGTCACTTAACCCCAGTTGCCTCACCAAAATAAATAAAAGAAAGAAGAGAAATTAGGCTGGTCGGTAGGGGCTGCAGAAAGGAGAAAGTTTTAACAATTAGAAGTATCCAGCTATAATAGAATGGGAGGGGTGGGCTGCCCCCAGAGGTGTGGTGGCTTCCCTGCCACTAGAGCTTTTCACACAGAGGTTGGTTGGCCACTCCTGGGGTCTCTTAGAGAAGATTCTTATCCAGGTATGGGTCGGATTAGATGACCTCTGAGGTCCTTCCACCCCTGGAAATGCTTTGCTTCTGCCTCTCTCTGATTCCACTATTGATGCTAAATTACTCCATCATCAAACACCTGCTGGTCAGCTCTTTAACGAGACTGATTTTTTTAGAACAACTTCATAATGATTCTTGTAGACATGCTTGACAGTATACAGAAGGTAAGAAAAAAAGCTCAGAGGCTTGTTTTGATTTTCCATTACTTTTTATGGCAATAGTAAATTTTCATTTCTTATTTGAAATTAATAATATGACACATTTAGAATAGCTCATCTGAATACCCTCAAGGTATTCTTTAAAGAACTTATTTCCCTTTCAAAGATAGGAAGACTCAGGTATAAATTAGCAAAATTCAATGCCCTTGTAGTAAAGTAGCATTGTTGGCAAAGTTTGAGATAGCAAGCAGTACTTGATATACATATATTCTAATTAAAATGTCTTATATCCACTGTTCTCTGTTACATATACTGCTACCAAGCACACCCCAGTGCCTTTTTAGAAACCTATTGATTGTCAAAAGTATTCCAGTTTGTCATAGGCCCATGCTACTTGTAATGTGGTAAGTGTAAATGATAGCAATGAAGAAAAACCAGGAAAATCTCATCCTCTTTTACAAATCTTATCCCAAGCCAGCAAACACTCCTGTGATTCCTTGAAAGTTGAAAGAATAGTCATGAGATCTACAGGTATTAGATATTTCAAAAAATGGCCATAGATTGTGTCTGTTTCAGGATTAGATTTGCCGTGGTCATTATTATATGACATGTGATCTCTAGCCCTGAAAGAACCATGTGACTATTGCCCTGGCTGCTATAAGATTAAGTCTCTGTATTGGCCACCAGAGCAGTTGTGCCATCCTCATGCCTCCTGTGGCTCACACAAAAGATTTGTCTGTTGGTTGCCCAAGAGATTGTTTGTTGGTGTCAGAGAAGTCTTGTGACCTTGTGAACAGATGGCACAGGTGAAAGAAACCTTGACTTTACATGTCCTGTCCCCTCACCACCAGCAGCCATTTGTTACATGTGATTAAAAACATCACTAACGAGAGTAATTGAACATGCTTTTTGGCAAACACAGTTAGCAGGATGTGACATGACGCAGCACTGCCTTCTTCCTCTACGTGCCATCTCCCTCGAGGCCTGATCCTCTGTGCTCACCCCCGTCTGCCCCGTGCCCAGGCTTGCCTTCCAGCTCACCTGCTCCAGATGGGCAGCACAGTAGGGAGGACACTGGCAAAGGCAGATGTGTTTATTTACCGGAGACAGAACTCTGTGCTGTTACAGATGGCAGTGCCTGGGAGCAAATGGCAGCCTTTGACACCATTTCTACTGCCACCCAGCCAGGGCATCTTGACTGTCAGAGTTAGCTTACTTTCAGTGGCAGAAAGAGGAAAAAACCAGATGAGATTTCTCAAAATCCCTAAGTGAGCATGGTTCTTCTGACCTCCTGACCCTGAACAGCAGCCTCCCCACTTCCCCACTCTTGGCCTAGTACTAGATTCTTAGGTTGGCATGACTTCTTTGTGAGACCATCTATTCCTCCTATTTCTTTCTTAATAGGAAGTATTTTGAATAGTATCATCCAAGTGGAATTACAGAAGCACATACTTGTGTTATAAATGCACGTTAGAGATAAGCTTGTTTTGTCAGTTTGAAAAGCCCTCTGCAGAACATATGTGCAGGCCCAGGTCATTTCCCATAGGGAACCTCTTAGGATTGGGAGCAGCTTATGTTAACCCCACTGGAGATGCCACTGATATTTTTAGTGGGCTAATTTTTTTATCCAGCTATATGGGGACAGATGTGCATTGAATTGGAGATGGCTTAATGTGACAGCATTTTGCACTTAAACAGTGTTTTTTCTCCTGGGGAAATGAGATTTTGAACAGTAACCCTTTTAAATACATTTTGCTTTTCCTGTCTTTGTAACTTGCCTAGTCCTATACATGTTGATATGTATGTTGATTTGACACAGTAATAAAATGTCTAAAGTGACTTGTCTCTGAAAGCTGCTGGCTTATCTAGGAGTCTCCCACCCTCCTCCTTTTTCTTTAATGTGATGTTTTTCCCAACCCTTATTGCTGA